AATGTTGAATGCAAGTCATTTACCAACCAGTGTTTGATTTTAATCCAAAAAGGTAATGTATATATAGTGGAATACAAAATGAGACCTATATTCTTAACTTCTTTTGAAAAACCAAAGGATTGATTTGAACAAGTACAGCTTCCAATTAAACCAAAAGAAGGTTGCAGTTGATGAAAAGCATCCAGAGTCATTTAAGACAAAGATTTTAATATTTAAGCAAGACATTACCAAAGAAAAAATTGATATAATTTGGCTGGCATGTTTTTATTCATCTGTTATATATGCACCTTCTTCATATTATATTTTCACTTTCTTTAGAGCATTTATAAAAGATTAATTTTGTTGGATTTTTTTAAATTTAATTATTATTTACTTGTATGTATTTTGTTTAATTATTTATGTAGTATTTTATTTATTTTAAATATTTAAATGTTTTGATTTAACCATTTCTTTTTAATTTTTATAGATTTTTATGATTACAGGACCATAAAAACTTTTAAAAATTAAAAGGAAACAGTTAACTCAAGACCTTTAAATATTTAATATAAATAAATAAATAATTAAACAAAATAAAATAAAATACATAGAAATAAATAATAAATTTAAAAAAATAATTCTGCAACAAGAACATTTACAAGATACATTTTCTTTAAAATTAAAATTGTCATGTCTATAGGGTCAGTCTACCCGGATTAAAAGTGAAAAATTAAGTTTTAATTTTTCACTTGTCAAGCTCACAAATACAATATAATGTGAAGAAATGATATTTTACACAGGCAAAAAGGAAAAACAGATTGAAATAATTGTATATTTATGTACATATTAACATTTGTTTTTACATGGTAAACGTGGTGTTTGTTCTGGTCATAAAAAAACAATGTTCAACAAAATTTTCCATTTGTTAAAGAGTAGTTCATAAAGTCATATGCCTTGTTCAATATAAAGTGTGATGTCCATTTTAACATAGTGTATGCATGGCTGCTGACTGAATATGTATGTGTGTGAAGCACATTAGTAGAAACGTTGTGTGTATGAATGCTAATACATGAAATCTGATTATGGTAGTTTCAAAAGGAAATGGACATACAGATAGATGATCAGACTTACTTTTTCCATGGCTATGAATATTTCTTTGAGTTGTGTGAATATTCCTTTGAATTATGTGTAGTTGTCGCTGACTGAGGTGTTGTGATGGTAACAAGAGAATTTTGGTCATGTGTTTACAGATCCAACCGCCTGTCATCAATGGGTGATCCACATCCAGCTGCTGACTGGATTTTTGTTGTGTCTGTTTTTACTGCCCCCAAAATCGGTGTATATAATGTCATCCTGATCACATGATTCACTCCAAACAAAAGCTTTTTGGTTTACGTGGCATAGCACCCGGCAACCAGTTCATTTGGAGTTCAAATGTACAGACAGTGTCAGAAGCATAGCATGTGACTGTACTGTCCAATCAAATTCCAGAAACCACTTATTTAATTTTGGATCCTTTTTTTTTTTTTTTACTGATTTGTACAAAAGTTTTTGTTTTAGTGATTCTGATCCTATTTATGTATGGGCAGTTCTTACTTATTTGTGCTTCACTTATTGGTTGTAAAATATAGGATTTTATATCCTATATATCTCAAGATGAATAAGTAATTTATATTCCTCTTCCTGTAACTGAGATTGAACCTCAGACCTCTTGGGTACTATACTGGAGTTCTAAATAATTAACTTCATTCACATGACAGTGCATCTGACAGCAAAAGGTAATGTCTTTTGAGATATTAAAAAATTTAAAAATGGAAGAGCTTGACATCCTTTACTTATTACTTTATTTATTTTAATTTTTTTTAAATTGCAGAAGGAATTATTAAAAAAAAGATAATTGTCAACAGTGAAAAAGGGCCAAGTTGTTAGAATCTCATTCTGAAATAAAAAATCTTTTGTAATTCAAAATATTCATCTCATATTTCCCTACTTTACAAAGGTGAACTCTTTACTGAAATTGGTTCCATACATTTTTTCACCCAGCTGTGATCAAATAACTGATTTAGTTACTTTCACTATTCTCATTCATGCTTGCCCTGGTGGTTATTGACATTCTTTTTTTTTTTAATAGTTTTTTTTTTTTAATTAGCTTTCAAAGACATATACAAAAACATATGGTGGGTATGTGTTTTTTTAGGTCTATCATCACAGCAGTGTATTATGATTATTTTCTTTACCTTTCTGAAAATATAAATTACTATCAAATTTACCTGAACTAAAATAGATTTGGGGGATCAGTTTTGATATTTTTTTTGTCTGATTTTGCATTGAATTAAAATGATTAGGGAGAAAGCAGAAAAGAATAATATATTTTGATGTTATAAAGAAATATCGGGTGGGGGGAGGCTGAAAATCTCTTGACTTGGTCCCTTGCCCAAAATCTGATCAAATGACCTAACTTCAGAATATTTTAATCTTCTTTTGAATTCTTGAACAGTTAGTATTGCTTATTTATATTTTTTTCTTGTATTAAAAAATGTTTTTAAGCCCAAAATTTGTTTGTTTTCCACTTTATCACATAAATATAAAGTCAATTATAAATGATATCTGATCAATGAAAAGTCCAGTAGAAATTAATTACAGTTCACAGAAGTTTAAGTGTCATCCACTCTTAAGACATCAGAAGTTAAAGTGAGAAAGAAAAATGTTAACCAGCTTATATTTCATTCATTGAGCAAATGCAAGGTGGAAGGAAGGGAGACAAGCATGCTGCTGCTACTGCTTGGAACCATCCATTAATTTGAGGAGGTGAAATAACTGAACTAGTTAACAATATCCAAGGTTCTCCAGATCTTGATTTTAACCCTGGACCCCACACAAAAAAAAATATTTCCAGTTGGGCTTTCCAGTTTCTAAGGTCAGCTCTGAATTAGTCAAAATAATATTTTGACACCAATCATGTTTGATCTTGATGTTCTTATGACAAAATCAAAGTCTTTGTTCCTCTGTTTCCTCTTTGACAAAATAAGCATTTGTAAAACTCTATGACACAAGACTGTTTTCTTTAAGTGTTTATTTCATTAATTTGTTTTTAACATAGGAAAGTATTTGAATTTTCTATAAAATAGAAAATACAGTCCACTCCAATAATATTCACTGTGTATTTATTTTATGTGTTTACTAAACATTCTGGAAAAACGTAAGAGTTTCTGACTGTAAGTGTTTTCGGTAAACTCATGTTAAAATTGACCATGAAAAGAAATATAAGATAATAAAGCATGAACATACACACACATACGTCCACTGTTTTGAGTTTGGTAATGTTGTCCTTTAAGTCAATGGGGCCACGATAAAGAATTTTCACACTTTAGTTAACATCATTTTCACAATGAGGATGGGGTAAATATATTTTGTTGAGAGTGGTGAGACATCCCCCAGGCTCTCCATTACCAATGGGCCTGATACATGCACACACATACCCTTACCCTTGCCCATATCTTTGCAATTTTGAAACAGAATATAGAAAAAAACATCTTTTCCACAGCTGTAACATCACTTCTCTATAACTGATTTCATAGCAAATGCTCCAATGAGATCCATTTTTTAGTTCCACTAATTCTAACCTTTAGAACAAAGACCATGCATCTTTGGAGTCTAATCAAGCTCACTTCCATGATATTCCAATTGTAAGCAGTAAGTTTCACTCTTACAGCATTTTCCAAAGAACTGCTGCTTTATGAAAAAAAGATTCCCACATGTATGCTTCTCCAAAAATCAAGGGTCAATCATAATTGATCCACCATATCCACATAATCCTCACTACCTACTCTTTCCTTCATATCACACGCCCTCCTTCTGTAATACTCTACCATGAATGGTTCTTGAGCCTTGTTTGGGTGAACATTACTAAAAATAAAATTACAATTTTAAAAAGTAAAAACCACTTTTTATTGATTTTTAACAAAATAAAAGAATTTTTATTAATTAAAAAATATCCATTATTCTTAATTTGTAAAATCCTCACAGAAACCAATATTCATTATGAAGATATTCCTCCTCTTCTTCTTATCTTAATCATCCAGTTCACACTCCTCCCCAGTCTTTTGAACAGGAGTAAGGTTTTATCATTTATTTTGTATTTACAATTGGGTTTCTGTTTCTTTCTAAAGTTTTCTCATTCTCTTTCACTCTCAATAACCCCTTGCATCTTAGTGACATTATCGGCTTGCTTGTGGTAAATTAATTAAAAAAATAGAAAACAACAAAAGTGTGCATGACTAAATAAAGGGTGGAGCAAATATAATTTAACTACTAAAAACTTAGTGTTGTGTTTGATTTAATGTTAATGAATTACATAAAGTAGTTTTACCAAAAGAGTCATGAATGTTAGTAAGAACTGTGGTGCTATGAGGAAGTGTAGGTTTATAAAAAAAAAAAAGTGTTCTATGTCCCATAGAAATATAAGTAGGAGGGAGTGCTGAAATTTCTTTACCCACCCTAAAAGCCTTTCCTCCCAAAATGTGATGTTTGGTTATTTGTTTAGATTTTGAGAAGTGGATTTGACTGAGAATTTTTCAACATTCCCTCTTAGGTCAAAGCAAATGGATTAATAAAAAGTTATTTTTATAAATATTTATTTAGAAAAAAAATGAACCTTAGGCACATAATTTAAAGTAATGTAGCAGTTTTCAAACTTCTAAAGTTTTCAAAAGTTAAATAGAATAACATTTAGGAAAACATATAGAAATTATTCATAAAGTTGTAGGCGTAGATTTCAATACCTGACCTAAGCAGAGTTCAACTGTTATAGTCCAGTACTCAACTTAAATAGAGTTCAATTGTTCAGTAAATTTATAGGTTTAGAGTTTAAGCATATTTTCTCTAGTTGTTAAAATAAAAGTTACAATCACAATGACAACCAATTGCAATAAGAGAACAAGTTAAACAAATTAAAAATCTAAGGATTTTTTGCAAATCTTTTACAGGAAGGCACTGGAAACTGATTTGTAATAAATTTTATAAAGATTTATACACATATATGTGCTTTTCTCTCTCTCTCTCTCTCTCTCTCTCTCTCTCTCTCTCTCTCTCTCTCTCTCTCACAAACACACTATGTGTGTTTATATATATATATATATATATATATATATATATATATATGGTGGTGGTGTGAATTGTACCAAAAGGTGAACAAATGTATATTTATTATTAGTGTGTATGTGTATGTGTGTGTGTGTGTGTATGTGAGTGTGTGTGTGAATGTGATTGTATGTGATTATATATATATATATATATATATATATATATATTGTCATCCACAGACAGACTGTTTCGCTGTTTCACAGCTCATCAGTGTAGCTAGACATCCGATTGCCTCAACCTGGGATCAAAATATATGAGTAACTTAGCAATCTTGACTTTTCAGTTAGCCTGATGTATATTTATGAGCATCTCTTAAATTTAAACATTTTTAAACACTAACAATATTTTTACTTTTGTTTATAAATACTTGTTGCAAAATAAAATCCTTACATTTGCCTTGATAAAGTCTATCAGAGGATAAAACATATCAGTTAAGTTTTTCTTTTGTCTCTATTCATATTATCCTTCTACAGATATATTTTTAGCTATATCTGAAATATTTTATATATTTTATAAAATATATATATATATAGTCTAGTTACCTGAATATCGCGAGAGCATGAAACTCAAGTAATGACTCAGGATCACCTTTGTTAGGAGTTGATGCTGTGAAGCAATTTTTGCTCATTCTAGGTAATCTGGGCATTATGCACTTTACTGAGTAAGCAAATGTTTGCCTTTTGGTCTTTCATACTTTCTGGAATTTTTATGGTCTAAGGCCTTAGGTTTTATAGCAAATTTTATGTTGGTCACAACAAAATAGTTGTTTTTTTCTTTAGTATATATATATATATATATATATATATATATATATATATATTCTTTATTGAGAATTCTCAAATGTGCAGACCAATAGACATAATATTTAAAGTTCCAACATAAATATTTAAATTTACATAACATAGATATAATATTTAACCGTTTAAATCAAAAATAAGAATGAGGTGTCTAATTCAAATACAAGTATGCCACTATAGTAATGTTTGAAGTAATAAAAATGTCAGATTGAAAATAAAATTCACTAACACTTTAGATATGCATGCATGCATGAAACATTAAATATAAACTAAAAACTTAAATATAAAATAAACTGGGGACACATTGCTAAAGTCACAGGGTTTAATATCATATACTAACTATAACAATATTAATACAATGATATTAAAGTAGTTATCAAATCCCGCTAATCAGAGTATCATTTGCTCTGCTGCAACAAAATTGGCAAGTGGACCAAATATATTATATATTAGTTCATTCACCTGATGATTATGTTACAGAAGAGCACTTGAATGTGAGTGTGGTGACTGGCAAATGAAATAAACTGTTTAAAAAAAATTGCACAAATATCAGTATCTACTAAAATGACATTTGAGTAAAAACAATATCTCAAATTTAAAAATAAAATTCCTTAATTCTTTAAATATATATATATATATATATATATATATATATATATATATATATATATATATATATATATATATATATATATATATATATATATATATATATATATATATATATATATATATATATATATATATATATATATATATATATATATATACTATCTTGCACCTCTAGCAGGACTCTGAGTTTCATGCACGATACAATCTTTGAGTGCAGAGTTCAAAATGACTGTTTTACAGTTTGAATCAAAATATATCTCATTATCAAGATTGCATTGTGCATGAAACTGAGTCATGCAAAAGATGTCAGATAGTATGTATATTTATTAATATTATTGCTCTATTTCATTACATTGACCACTTTCGTTAACTATATGTATGATATGTTATAATCTATCTATCTATCTCTCTCTCTCTCTCTATATATATATATATATATATATATATATATATATATATATATATATATTTGTGTCTTTTTATGTAGATATAGGAATATATATATATATATATATATATATATATATATATATATATATATATATAATTTTTACATTTTGGGTTTACTATGGTGGCTATTTTGAAACAGCAAAGTAACAATGTGAGCCATCTGACATGAAATTAGTAGACATTGCCAACAGGAAGAATCACCTATTTATATAAGGAATAATATTCAACCTTTGTCATTGGTGTTTAGAAAACCCTTTTCTAAGTCTGTTTTTCACCCCAAAGTGGGTGAATGAATTAATTTATAAAGTACACACACACACACAACACACACATATAAGAGAGATGAGTATTTTATATATTTTTACATCTGTATATGTGTATTTAATTGTGTTTATACAGTTTTCATGTGTATTCATCCATCAATCATTTGCATATAGTGAATTTCTACACACATGTACATAAATCAATACAAATGTAATCTTATGATGGAAAAAGCATTTATTTTAACCACCAAATATTTATTTTTCAACATTATATCTTTCCTTTAAAAATACTGAATTCAATGCTGAATATTAATACAAAGATCTCATATTGTGAAAATTTCAAATCAAAATGCAATTATGTCATACAAGAGACTTATACAAAATACCATCATATATAAACATAAGCATGTATATATTTGCTTTTGTAAGTATATATTTATATATAATGTGTTTTATATATATATCTATATTATTATATAGTTATATATATATATATATATATATATATACACCCCCCAAAAATCTTTAAATTTACAAATAGAAAAAAATGCCGTGATAATTTTTTGGCCGTTAAATTTAAAAAAAAAAAAAAAAATCCAGACAACATGCATTCAACGGATGTCAGTTTTCATTGAAAAATACATCCCTACCCCTTACCAAAATGTAGCTAATAACCGATACAATGATACAGACATAAGGAAAACCCAGACACCCCTTGTCCAGTTGAAGTAGATTTATCTGTAACCATGGAAACATGATTTTAGCCGTGTCTTTAAAACCCAGTAATTTTAAAAGTTACTCCAAAATTCGCTTGAGGATGAAATGGAACTAATGTCTTTAATCTAATTGCAAAATTAAATTCATGGCTTTTAGCTTCCATTTTTGAAACATGGTTAGAACTGTGTAGCGAAAAAAAACATATTTTAAATCAATTAATTTATAATATATATATAGTTATATATATATATGGTAAAAACCTAGTTTTAAGGTACGCTATATTTATTGGTAAAATTGCTCAACATAAAAAATAAAGCATATGTAAATAATATGTGGGCATTAATATAAAGTAATGGATTTTTTATTTGTTACTTCAAAAGATTTTTGTCACCTTAAACCTTATTTTTAGTGGATACCCATATTTGAGTAGACACTCCGTTTATCTTAAACTAAACAGTATATTTATTTTCATCTACTGACCTGAATATTCAAGAAGTCTTATTAAAAAAAGTTGCAATACATTTTAAAATAAACGGGGCATCTACTCAAATATGGGTATCCACTAAAAATAACATTTAAATTTAAAGTGATATATACACACACACATACATATATATATATAAATTTTTGTCTTGGAAGAATTGTTTTTCCTCCTTTTGCAGTATGACAAGAGACATGATCTTGCATAAAGATGGAGCCTGGGAATAGGAGACACTCTCAGAGAAGGAACAAAATGTTTTATACACGGCAGCATTTACTTTGCCATGCAACCCAATGTATCAGAGAACATCTCCTTCACACTAATATGCTACTACCTCTGGAGTTAACTGATTTTTCACACATATAGGAAGCAATCTCTCACCTTTACACCTTCTGGCATCCTGATTGCTGTCAGTGCTAAATTAAACTTACTTTCATTGCTGAAGAGCAATCTTGGCAAATTTTTATTTGTTCAGACAATATTCACATTTGTATTTTCTTTCTGATGAGGGGGGTTTGATTCCTGACTGTACATAAAGCCCTACACATATAAGCAACACTGTTTACCGATAGACTTATATTTCAATTTTTCTCTCTTTTTTTTTTTTAATCATTACACCACAAGCAAGGCAATAAAGCCACAAAGACACAAGCAGTTACTGAGTGTGAAAGAATATGATAAAAATATACTATTATTAAAAAGAAATGGCAATAAAATAAGAAGATTTAAAAAGACAGAAGATAACGATTGACATTGCATTTAAATTTTTGAAGTTTAAAGTTGACTGGGAAGCAAGAAGTCAGAAGAAAGTTCCACAAGGGAGAAGTGTGAGAGAAGAAACTATTAGCATATAACTTGCAGTTATATCTCGCAAGCATTTCAACTGTACAATGATGAGACTTTGCTGCCAATCTAGTACTGCACTTAAATTCATAAAGTCTAAGTACCATAGACAAAAGTTCATCAAAACTATTAACATGAAATTATTTATAGAAATCTTTTATATTTTGGAAATGACACTCTTAGATCTTTTAACTTCTTTTGCAATAGCAGACATCATAATCCCTTGTGTTTTTAGTGTAACGAATTTATCACAAAGCAAATTTTTTAAATTTTACAACAATGTTTACTAGATTGGTAGAAATAGTCATTTTTATTTTTAAACTTTCATTCTTTAATAATGGACACCACTGTGTGTGTGTGTGTGTTTGTGTGTGTGTGTGTGTGTGTGTGTGTGTGGGGGCATGTATGTGTATATATAAATATATATATATATATATATATATATATATATATATATATATATATATAAAGAGAAAGAGTGAGAAATTACAGGGACAAGAGAGGGAGATACATAGATGAGAGAGAGAGAAATACGAAGACGAGAGAAAGAGAGGTACAGAGATAAAAGAGAAAGGCATATATATAGAAGAGAAATACAAATGCACAAATAGTTGTTCATGGTTATATATATATATATATATATATATTGAACAATAAAAAATATTAAAAAATTCAAATCTTCAGACATACTGGCTTGTAGATTAATATTCTTTTGTTTTTATTATTATTATTTCATTTAGATTCCTCGTTTAGATTCAACTTTATATATATATATATATATATATATATATATATATATATGAGGTTGT